ATTTTCTTTTAAATGTTCAATGTACCGGTGCAATATGTGTTATTATCAAGCAGCTTCTTCGCCAAACCAAAACTGTTATAATAATTGTCCATGTATATTTCGTGGTCATTGTTTAGTTTCTCCTGAAGAAGCTGCATGACCACTTTTTCGGCATGTCCCTTTCCTGTGTCTTCGGTGCCTTTTTCGCCCGCATATACTCGGAATTTTAATATCAAGCCATCTGGCTCTGCCAGCGTGTATAATTTTATGCCATATTTGTGGCATTGGTTCTTAATGTTACATGCTTTGGGTTCGTGACAATAAAAACTGCCGATAGAATTACCAAAATTGACACTTTAATTACCGAACACCAATTAAAACTAATACACACTAATAATTAATCACACTTAACACTTTAGTTCACTTTATTTCGCTCCTAAGTCTTTACTTGTATCGCTAATTCAATACTGCACCGGTTGCGGTGCTAAACGGCTTTAAATAGGCCTTTTCCACCGAAACATCCAGAATATTCCAGCAAATACCGGCCCCCAACCGACCAGGTGTAGAAAGTTCGAGTGTGGAGCCTTCTAGAAAGCTTAATTCCTCCATTCAATACTAGATGGCGCTAGTGGGAGAGTTCTAAAAGGATCTTGACGCTCCTATTTCTGATATTTGATACCAGATGGCGCTAGTGCATTGTGGCGCGCAACATTAATAAATTGCCGTAAAATCAGTCGCCCTCTCTATAGTATCATACTTTCATCCAGGGACAACTGCGTTGCAGAATAATATCGTTCATTCATCTTTGTTGTTGAAGTAATCAATAATACTCCGTATCCTGAACAACTGGTCCCCACTCTCTTCTGCTGAGCTAAAATGCAAGCCTCGCGTTATGAGGAGAAACCTATTCCCGCTCATTTGTTGTCCAAAAATTGGTATCGAGAACTACCTATCCCTTTTCCAGTAGTCTTGATGTCGACTGAGAGGGATAGTTCACATGTGGAACAACAATACAAGAAAAATCCTCAGCTCCGGGACAGCGATCGGTTTCCAGCCAATTATCCTTGAACTCTTCTTTGTCATTGTTGTCTCCACTCAGTTCTTTGCGCAGTTTTGTCTCTGCTTGTTCCAATTTATTTATAATTAATTTATGTTCAGACTTATCACAGAATTTATCACAACAACCTGTAAGCCAAGCCATGCGCACTTTTGATCGTACAATACCTACCTTACGTCCGCCAAGCAGTGATCTAATTTGATCAGAATTATGTAAACATGTGTACCTATGAAAAAACTATTTTTTCGTTTTAAACAAAACCAAAGACACTATGCAATAGATAATAGTATCAAAGACAAAGATAGGCTCTTTTATTTTAAACCATAACCTGGCAATGTTTCTTAGAAAAAAAAAAAGAAATCACTCTGAACTTTCGGCGTTCCACGTGCCGTTTTGATGAAGGTGCTCCGTCTTTTTTATAGAATTTTATATTTGTGTCTGGACTAAAAACGAAAGTATTATACTTTTTTATATTCCTTGTAATATAGTGAACACATATATATATATATATATATATATATATATATATATATATATATATATATATATATATATATATATATATAATTTGTGGTATAAAAAGTGAAAAGTAAATTGCCAAAAGTGCTTCAAAATCTGGAAGGCCCATTATGGCGGCTGGGTCATAAATGTGTTATTTTTCAAATTCTCATTTATTTTTAGTGTAAAATGTAAGTAAAAATAGTTTTCTTACATATTTCAAATAACTTGACGTTGTATTTATTTCAAATTCACACAAAACTATTTTAGAAATATTGTTCTAAATGTCACACAGATAAAATATTATTATTATTTTTTTTAATTTCTTTATATTTTAATATTGTGGTATGAGTAACGAATGGAAACACATAAAACATAAAAATATACATATTTCCAAACATTTTCATATAAATTTCTCTAAAAACAAAAGTGTAGAATTCAAATTAGTAGTAATTTTGTCACTAAAATTGAAGTATATATACCACTATACAGCTATACAGGGTAATCTACGTATTTTATTACAATTTCTAGCAACCAAAAATAATTTTATTCGATAGTTTATACATTAAACAAGAATTCCTGTAAGTTTTATCCATAAATATTGTCTTAAAGTGAAAATATAGCAAAATTTGCAATATAGCAAAAAATTTGCTAATTTTCAAATTTTCCCCGCCATTACGGTCCCGAGCGAACGGGAGTATAACATGTCGCGCGCTGTCAGAGCTTACAGGTACACTGACACATTTTCTACAGGAAAATATACTAATCTTAATTTATTATTACAATACACTGAATATAGGTTAATCTGTTGACTATCCCTGTGCCCCCAAATTACCCTATTTGTAGTTTTAGACTGGATGGACTGGACTTGCAGGATCCTAAGCTAATTTTATACTTCACTTCCAAGGGATAGTGATCAGACCACGTCACATTGTTTCTTACGTGTATGATGCTTTCAATATATTTCTTAGCCATACACGTTATAAGGCAATGGTCCAACATCGTGAGCAGCCGTGAGCATTACTGGTGTATGTGCATAAATTCCATTTTCTTGACATCATTTCATAGTCAGCACATACTCGCGTCTACTCATCGCAAAAACTAAGCATTTCATTAAAAAACAGCTCCCCCGGGTGTGCGCTAAAGTCGCCTAACATAAAAACTATACTAATATCACATTCCTCAATAATTGCGTTAATTTCACTTATGCACTCTAGAATTCCGTAAGGTTCTCGACACAGTCTGTCGGCATATAAACAGAAAAAATAAGCATAGCTTGTTCACGTACTTGACACTTAATAGCATACAACCTCACGCTATTACATGTTACTACAGACACCGAAGAAAACACATTCTTAAGCCATAACAGCGCAACACCCTCGTGTGGTCGCCCATGCTGAATGCCCGCGCCTGAATCTACAGCAGTAGTACCCGTGGCTTCAAAGTCTTCGTGGACGGTGCTGAAGTATGAGAGGTCGTGGTCCATTAGCCGGGTCTCTTGCAATGATACTACCGAGGCATCCTCACACAACACCCTCACACTGTCTACCGATCGCTTCAGGACTTACAATTAAAGCTAACAAGCTTTAATGTTCGACTTTCATGACTATTTTTGTCCTGACCCATTATTTATGTTGTTCTTTTAATCCAACAGTGTCTTTTTCACTTTTTTTAAATAATAATCGTCTAAAATATATGCCTTCCGGTCATAATTTATTGTCACTAAATAAGGACAACTTACTCCTAGGTGTATAGAACCATAAACAAATATAATCCCCTGCAGATCTCATATGTACTTTTTCTAGCACAATACGAATATGTGTCTTTTCGAATACATAATCCGCAACATCTTGCTCTGTATTCTCCTTTGAGACATTATAAATGAAAAGCGGGATTTGCACATCGGTTGCCCTTAATTTAAGTGACGGATCTATCGAAGCCTTTCCCCGCATGCCTTTAACCTTAGGAAGACAACAGGGGTGACGCGTCAACCCACTACTCGAAAAAAGTTTAACTCAGTTTCTGATGAAGGGATGGGTTTTTTTGGCAAAAAAATACCTTCAGCCCGCTTGCTCTGAACATCGCGAAGATATTTGCTTGATCTGCATTTAATGCAAAAAATAAATAAAACCAAATTATCGGTGCTATAATAAACACTATTTTCATATTCCTAATTATATTAGCAATTGATGTCATAATAAATAACTTTGGTTCTCTCAAACATTGCAGTTTAATTTGAATTTAAAAAATATGGGGTGACACGTCACCCTTGTTGCCATTTGTGTATGCAAAAAAAGTGTTGCCTACCGAAGGTTAAAACGTGACGTCTTACGCCTTGCGACCTGAACCCATTCTCCTTCACTATTATTGTGTATCTCGGCTTCCCCAGCGCCGCCCGTTGTGTTCTCGCGTGACGTCACCGCAACAGCTGGCACCGAAGACGACGTCGGTGGCGCGCGCGACACCGCTTCGACGTTCGGCACGTGCGAAGTGCATTCTTGATCGCCGCAGTGGGCCTCCTGTCCGCGGTGGGCCTCCACGTGTTGCCGTTTCTGCCCGGGAGCGACAGAGAGAGGCTCACCGGTTGAAACCGCCGCAGCTCACGCGTAGGAAGGAGATGGGTGCGCGATACCTCGTTCTTGCATAGATATGCTCGGCGGTGTATCACTTCCTAGGCCGTATTCAGTGCTCTCCTGACGGTCGGGACTGACGGTCAGTGCGTACGCACGCACTGACCGTCAGTCGGCTTTATGCATTCAGTGCTCCACTGACCACCGTACGGAACAGCAGGGTATAGTCGTGATGTATCCGTTTATAAATTGTTTAATTACTCTTTACTATTTGAGGCGATTACGAATGAAAAAAAAACGAAGAAGATATCACGTACATCCAGTTATTGCTAACAGGCTACTTGAAGGAGAATTCAGTACTCTGTTTTCAAAACTTAGAAATTATAATGAAAAATTCTCTGATTATTTTGGGATGTCAGTAAAAAGTTTTGATGAACTGCTGGCAAGAATTCAGGATCATATTAAACATCATAACATGTTTAGGATTCCAGTACGACCCGTTGAAAGACTTGCTGTGACATTGAGGTAAGATAAAATCGAAAATATTTTCGTAGTCGGGTGCTATTCCACTCATCAAATTTCTTTGATCAAAATATCAGTGCATTTTTCTAATAATATCAACATAAAAGTCAGCTTTCTCTTTTTGTTGGATAAAATTGATGGGTAGAATGGCTGGCACCCTTACATAGAGTACTTTTAAATATGAAATTAGAGACCTTTAAATATGAAATAGGCAAATTAAACATGTTTATGTGCTAAGTTTAATAAGTTTAATAAGTAATTTAGGTAATACAATCAGTTAAGTAATTTAGGGAATGCAATCAGTATTATCAGTATCATGTGATTGTCAGTCATTGCTTAAAATTAATATACTGAGACAAATCAGATGATGGGTTTTACAAATTTTGTGATGTGCTCGTATAAGCGAAATTACGATTAGTTGTCACTACGTTTTGAAACGAAGGTTCTTCAACTGAATACAAAACTATGTCTCGAGATCCTGGTGATGGTATATTGAAGCTGGAAGCAGACAAAGATGTGATTACCGAATTTTGTGATGTATGTGCGATATTTGGATTAGTTCTCACTACATTTTGAGACGAAGGTTCTTCAACTGAATACAAAACTATGTCTTGAGATCCTGATGGTAGAGATTCTGGTGATGCTATATTCATGCTGGAAGTAGAAGATTCAGGGCGAGAGGTAGATGCATACATTGGTGAAGCAAGAGGAGTGATAGACGAAGGGCAGTTACAAATTTCCAGGGCTTTATTCATTACTGCAGTACGGAACATAACTTTTTGACGATTGTCGAATGTCCGTGTTAAAGGTAAAAGAGAATAAAAAAATGCCATATCGTCATTTTGAATAATTTCGCTGTTTTTTGTTAAAAACTCCAAGATGTTTTTATCGAAGTAGCTGTCTTCATTAGTTTTTGCGTTTTTACGCTTCCTTGATGGGTTTGTGTTAGGAGTAGAGCTAGATTGTTTAGTTGTGTTTGAAGAATCTTGTCTAACTTGGCTGGAACACTGTGGTTGGGTTTCTGGATTGGTGGATACTGTTTCAGTAGAACGTGGATTGATTGGAGACTCTAAATTTGAATCTTGTTGTGTATCTTCTCTTGTTTCATTTTCTTCAATAGAATCTTCGGTGTCGGCAACATGTTTTTTGTCAAGAAACTGTAAATGTTTGAAAAATACGTATTTGGTTCTCTTTCCGCCTTCCGATCCCGATTTCACAGATTTCATAGAATTTTTGCATCTCATGTAAGCATCTCTCGCAGTTCTCCATCTTTGTTGTACACTTTTTTCTGTCAATAATAAATAAAAAAAATTGTATTTTTTGTTCCAGGTACTTAAGAACTGGACAAACGTTTTCGGACTTACATTTCAGTTATCAACTTGGCAAATCAACTATTTGTCTCATTGTTCGAGAAGTTTGCCTGACTATTTGGAATGTGCTTCACAGTGAATGTCTTTCGCTCCCTAGGTTCCCTGAAGATTGGCTTAAAATTGCTTCAGGATTTGAGCAGGTTGCCAACTTTCCGAATTGTGTAGGATGCCTAGATGGCAAACACGTGAGAATTGTTTGTCCCGAAAAGAGCGGTAGCTTATTTTTAAATTACAAGAAGCATTTTTCCATCAATCTACTAGCAATGTGTGATTCAGAGTATCGTTTTACATATATACATGTTGGTTCGTGTGGGTCAGACTCTGATTCAACAATTTTCAAGAATACTAGTTTGTACACAAAATTACATAATGGAGAACTAAATTTACCAAGTGCTAAGCCATTACCTAATACCACTGAACCAATGCCATATGTGCTAATAGGCGATGGAGCGTTTGGAATATCGAATAAAGTCTTAAGACCTTATGTTCGCAGCAATATGACACATAAAAAGAAAATATTTAATTATAGATTAAGTCGGGCGAGAAGGTACATTGAATCGACGTTTGGAATAATGTCCAATAAATTTAAAATATTCCAACGCTCAATAAATCACTCACTGCCGAATGCTATTAAACTTGTTAAAACCTGTTGTATTTTGCACAACTACATTAGAGAAAGAGATGGCTATAAATTTGAGGATACGCTAACTATTGAAGGATTTCAAAATAATACCAACACTAACAACATCTCGGTTGTCAGATCCGGTGATGTTTTGAGAGATAAATTTGCTAATTACTTTGTTTCTGAAGTTGGCGCAATTCCGTGGCAAGATGATTCTATATTTTGATTGTTATTATTTAGATACTTGTATATTCAATAAAAAATATTTTTAATAAACACATAGTCTTTTTTATCATTCTCAGACAAATCATTAAAATCGGGCAAAAGAGCTTTATACACTCCAAACCATGCTTGAAGCTTGGCATCTTTATCTTTGAATAAATCGTGAGATAGATCCCACAAAGGTGGTCTTATTCGAACTTCTGTTATCACACGTTCAGTGTCGATGTTATGTTTCGACATGATTGTACACGCTAACGTCCGTTCGAGTCCCGCTTCCGCAACGCACTAAATGCTCTGAAGCATTGCATAGCGCGTCAGTCACCTGACGTACGCAGCACCGACGCGCTCGACTGACCGTCTCTGTCAGTATTGCGTATGCGGACGCGGTCAGTGCTGCTCTGAATGCACGCATGGTTTCTATGGCGATAGCTACGGCAGACTGACGTCAGTCCTGACCGTCAGGAGAGCACTGAATACGGCCCTAGGTCGGTCGTTAACCCCATCGGCCCGCTTGTTGAGACATAAATATCTTACAGGCAAAAACCGCCCCTCCCGTTATTCACACAAGGCTCCATTTTCCTCTTTTTCCATACAATGTATCCGGATTGTTTTCTTTGTCTTCGACATATTTTTCAAAATCTTTTTTTGTCATATAGTCGTAAACAGCCATTGAAGCAAGTTCTCTGACTTTCCCATCCAAATTAATTATCAAATTCACATAATATTTATGTAATTTATATGAAAATTCAGAATATAATACTTTAAGGTGGCTTTTTAAGTTATCTCTATTGGAAAACCTCTTCCTAAAGCCACGTGAAATTCAAGATGTGACAGTTGACTTCTTTTATTTTGTTTTTAAACATTGGTGTGGTGGCGAAGAATATTTTGTTTATAAACAAAATATTCTTCGCCACCACTTCTTAATTCTCCTGCTGACAGAAAACATACTTTTAACCTGGTCAAATTTGTTTAAACCCCCCATGCTCTTAGTATATTCTCTTACTTTCAATGGGCAACTTATGGCTAATTTAGAGCCATCTTTCTGTGTTCGATTTACAGTTGCTTTTCTATTTGCGAATGAAATGCATTGCTTAAGTTAAGAACTTCCTTCGTGTCTCGCCACGCAACAAATGAAACATTATCTTTTACGCTCCATCTGTACTTTCCTTTATTTAGTTTTTGATTTTCCTTCTTTCCATTTTTATTTTTTATAAAATCAGGAAGTTCTGTTCTGTGTCTACATATAGTTCCAGTCGCGAAAGTCCTTTTTTCATACAGATAATTTAGTAAATGAAATTCACAAAAAAATTGTCAAATGACACATGTTTCTCTTCTTTCATATCCAATAATTTTTTGTGAGTATTTTTACTACCTAACTTCCCAATCCATCCTCTGTTCCAGTATCTTACTTGCCCGTGTAAATATCGAATTTGTAAAGATAACGCGTGCTACTATCACATCTACACCATACTTTATAGCCGCGTTTTACCGGCTTCATCGGCATATATTGCTTCAAGTATGATCTACCCTTGAATATTATCATCGATTCATCTATGCTCTGGGATCATGTATTTTTTGCCGCTGCTTGACAAGAATAATTTATCAAATTTACTAATGGGTGTACTTTGTATAGCTTATCAAACGTTTCTTCACTTCTCTGGGGCTGTTTAGAATAGTCATTCAAATGTAATGTGCGTAACAATGCCTTGAATCTCTTTATTGGCATTACATTGGCGATTTCATCAACACTGAACCCCGGATCAAATTCAAATTCTTTATTGCGTAACTTAATCTATTACATAGCATATCGTGGTTGGTACTTCCTTTTAAGCAAAGGATTTGCTTGTACTAGGAAGCACCGCTCTTCCAAACAATGGGTATATAACATTAAGTTGGAGCGAAAAATAATAGAAAATTAGTTGTTAAATTATAGAAGTATAAAATAATACAGGCAGATTGTTATTATATTATTGTACGAATTTAGAGTTACAAAATATGGTGGGTATACGTGTGTATACGTGTATACGTGCGTGCATGTGGGTCCGTGTGTGTGTGTTGTATGTATGTTTAATGTAACACATATTGGTTTATTGGCCCTACGACTGTTCTTTGGGATCGGAAGTTATCATTGTTCTATGAATAACTTTCTATAACTGTCACCAAATGATGCATAGCACTCAGTTACGCTTACGAGTGATGAATGATATTCTCGAATTCTTCATAGTTTTTTTTGTAATTCACCATTTCTCTAGTGTCTTTTTACATTCAAGATACGTTATAGGGTAAATATTTAGTTTCTTATTAAGTTTATTATGTATGTAAACAGATTGGCTGTTGTATTGCCTGTTTGCAAATACCGATTTAACCCGGGGCTGCGGAACTACGTTAACTATCGTCCTACGATTACTTTTTCTTGGGTCGTAGTAAATTGATTTGTGTTTTCTCGTCACAATACGTAGGAGGTACAGCTTTCTTACCGATAAGATACCGCTTTTTTTTAATATAAGCTATCCGTTGGTGATCTGTATGGCAGGAAGAACATTATATTCAGAAGAGCCCGTTGTGCTCTTTCCAGATTTAAGAAACTAGTTTTAATCGCACCTCCCCAAACTGATATGCAGTAGGTAATAACTGATTCAGCAATCGCGAAGTAGATTTTACGTAGAAGGCTCATTCGAGCTACGTGTCGCAGGGTATTAAATGACCAGATTAGTTTCTTAACTCTGCTAATGAGTAATTCTATATGATGATGCCAGGACAACCGCTGATCCAACATGACTCCAAGGTATCTCGTAGTCCGCTCGGACCTCGGCAGGCTTTTTTAGCAGGTCTACGTTAGTACAACGACCGGTCTCCTCAAGTAATATTTCTTTGGGGTGGGCCCTTAACCCCGTTTTGGTTGTAAACGCACGTTCACACATTGAACACTGCCAGTCTGAAACGACCGCGTAAACTGGCCGGAGCCCCTGCCTTAGTAGCCGAAGATTGGGCCAAGCTCCACGCTCCTGTGGGAATTGGCCTCAAAGGCCATCAAAAGTACTTAGCTACGACCACTAAGGGCTCAGAAGCAGATCTAGAGTCCCACAGGAACCCGGGCACTCTTCAATGGTAGCCCTGGTCATTTGACCTTTGTCTTTTTTTCTTATTATCTATCTTTTTTCCGAAGGTTCCTAAGTCGTACCAGATCATTCCAAAAGAAAGTTATGCGAGGGAGAAAACTTCTTGTAAATCGCACAGTGGTGGACCGCAAATCATCCAAGTGATATGGATGATATCGCAAGTTTACTTATCTAGTTGTTTCCAATTAACCGCCGTTCGCAATTCCCCTACTCTCCCCTAACTGTTCTTTGGAGAGTCCAATGAGCAGGGAATTTGTAGGCACTATGAAGGACATTCACAAAGGAGGACGCGTCAAAACGGTCCAACGTACCAACAGAAATGGGGTTTATATATTCTCAAAGGGCATGTTGAGTGCTTCATTTATTACTATTGATACCAAGGTCTACCTGATTGCAGAAGTGCGTTATGCGTATATTTTAATGTAAATTATTTTAATATTATTATAATAAAAATTATATTAAATTATTAATGAATAAAAAGGTTTATAAATAATAGTCATTTAATAATAATAAAAACTGAACTAAAAACAATCAATAACTTAGTTATAACATAAAAACATTAATAAATACGGTTAAAATAATTATGCAGATAGCTGCATAATTATTTTAACCTTCGTAGGAAGGAAGGGACATCTTAAAATTGAATTCATTGTATTTATTAAAAAGATTTAATGACTCATGAACTCATGACTCTTTAATCATTTCTTATATTTACGCGAACACTACACATTTAAATAAAACTAGTTTTTACGGATTTTATCGTGTATATTTACTTTTTTATATACCCGACGTTGTGTACTTCACAGCACCCATAGTCACATACT